GCAGAGATTGAAATGAAATATTTTTCAGTCTTTCCAGGATTTGATATGCACTCTGTTAGGCATCTAGCTTACTTTGCTTGGTATTAAAGGAATGTTATCTTTTTTCAAAAGGAAATAAAGACATGCAGTTGGATTCTGATTTTTACATAGTTACTCATTTGCCTTTCAAGTTGGTCAGAACAGTTTGAGGAGTTTTTTATTTTTAAGTTAATAAATCATATAGTACATTTTATCTTTTATTGAGGAATAGGATATCAAAGTTGTGGCTTTTCACTGTTTAAAAAAAAGTGTATTGAAAGACAAGTTTTACAACACTTTGATAAGCAGCTGCTGCCACAGGTTTCCATGAGAAGAGTAGAGAGAGTTTTGTCTGTCCAGGTGGGCATTCTGGTCTTCAAAAACTGAAATTTTTTGATATGGAGCTAGGAGGAATAGGTGGTAAGGCTCCAGAATTAATTCCAATTCCCCAAATAAATTCTTCCATAGCTTTTCATTTTAGTTTTATGCTAATTGTCTTCCAGTAAGTGTCATTGGAATTACTATAATTATCTGTCGAGAAGTCTTGTATCTTTCCTGCTTCCTACAAGTCTCAGTACATTTTGTGAACTTTGCTTGAAAATTCAAGTGTTCTGAAAACTCTGTTTACTTTGTTGTAATTTGTTCAATAAATATTTTTAGCATTTTGTTCTGACAGGTTTTTAAACATATCTGCATAATCTTTGTGTGGGAAAAGAAGGGTATTTTATTTGCCCTGTCAAGTGGAACATAATTTGATTGTTAATGGGTATTAGCATAGGTCAAGAGAAACTGGTATGTTAGTGATACTGAATGAAATTTTACACGATATAATACAGTTTTCCTGTGTTGTGTGTACCTTTAGTAGTGCTGTGCTGGATAAAGGACAATGCAAAGTAACAAACTGATAAAACTGGAGACTCAGGACAGGTATGGTAATTAAAATACTAGGGTTCATTCATGTTCAAAAATTGCCTAGTTTTAATGGATATTTGATCTTTCTTTGGGTGTTTGATTAATACAGATTTTCATATTGAGTTCCTTGTGCTTGAGTTACTCCAGTAATGTTGTCAAAATCACATACTTGATCAAGAAACTATTCTCTCCAGTTTATATTTTAAAAACTTAAGAATCTTGAGGTAAAATAATACCTGTGGAATGAAAAAGCATGTATGGTCTGTCAGTGGTTAGTAAAGATTGATAAAAAAGTGGCTGATTATCTCTCACTTTCTGAGGTTAAACTGCCTTGCAGTTGGTCACCAAAAATACTGGTTTCACTTTTCCCTGTAACCAGTTGCCATAGTTCCCACAGTGATATGTAACTGAAACTGGGAGAGAAGTCATGAGTCAAAGAAGGCAGCTGTGAGATTTGCTAATATGTTGAAAGCACATCTCTTACATTGACAAAATTTATTTTATGCATTTCTGTAAAAGGTGAGGAAGCAAGGACTGAGTAACACACTCGGCTCTCTGAATGCATTGACCGGTGCATTAAGTGTGTCATCCTTTACAGGGTGGATTATCCATCCAGTTTCTCCATGTGAGGAGACTGTAGGTGCTATTTCAAAGGTTCACTTCCAAAGGGACCTTTGCCTGTTTAAAGACAAGCAGGGAATTGTATGACATCCCCATTTCTAGTGCACATCGGTGTTTTAAGGTCTGGGGCTGGGAAAAGGAAGTGGTTCTGGCTCACTTAGTTGGCTGTGGCACAATTAAAACAGTTCTGAAAAATGTTTTGGTCATCTGTGTAGTTTTGGCATGTAGCTCTAAAAGAACAAAACCAAGAATCAGTATGACTGATAGTGCTAAAACATCAAAAGGCTGCAGTGGTCATCAGCTTGAAACCTAACACTTCTTCTATGAGCCCAGCTAGATAGCAGCAGTCACTGAATATCATTGGAACAGTCATCTTTTTAAGAATTTTCAAATTCCTCTATCAATGTACAATGTTTTAAATAACTGTTGAGGGAAAGTGAAGGTTTTTTCTCCCAGTAGTTGATATGCTTGACTTGCCTTTAGAAAATAATACAGAAAGCTGTTCTTTTTTGATGTGCTTATAGTGGAAAAAGTTCTAGTGTGGACAGATGGCTTAGCAAGAAAATGCCTCTGCTGAGGTGTTTTCTATAGTTCTGGAAGGTGCCCCAAGTTCTCTAAGCCTTGCCTCTGCATTGGGGATTTATCAGTGTACTGTAGCAATTAATCCTGTCATGTCCAAGTCAGATCCTGTATTGCAAAATGATGAAGTCTTTAAACAGCTCTCCCTCACCTATCCCAAATACATGCCTTTTTTATTATTCTTCAGGGTTTTTTTATTGCATCTTTGATGGAGGAGGAAAAGGGAAGTAGAATGTATGGAAAATTCATTTAAGTGGCAGGAGCTTCAAAATCAGTGCCCAGTCTTGCATCTTACAGGGTTCTACAGCAATGTTGTCTCATTTCCCCAAAATAGTTGTATGGCCCATCAAAATTTAAGGTGCTTGGGACGGTACTAGTCTGCCTGGAAGTATCAGACTAAGCAAAAGGATGGTTGAAGAGCTGTGATATAGGTAGTGGGTAGTTAGAGTCTAACAGCAGGTGTAACATCCTGCCAGCACTAAGTTCATAGTGTAGAGGCTGTGTAGATACCTGCCACGTGAAGGTTTGAGAGCTCTGTATTTTGACAAGTATCTAGCTGCCACCCATGTGTGTTGTTTAAATTAAATACTTGGTTTAATATAAAGGGGAAGGCAGAGATGAGTAGTTTGCAACTACTTTTAAAGTAGTCTCTACACTCCTAATTACCTTCTATTTATATTTTGAAAGTTGGAAAGTGTCTTCTGTGAACATCTTTCTTAAGCTTCTTTTAACACTGCTATTATATATTCATAGAATGGTTTGTTATGTGAATTGGCAAATGCATGTAAAGCTGTAGTTGAAGATGTTTCCTTAGTCTTGCCACATCTGATGGGCATGAATCCAGGGCACCTTTTTTCATGTTATGATTCTCTGATCTTTCCAAATAGTTTTGTATTTGGCTGTGCTTTTTTTGACTTGGTTCAGTAGGTTTTACTGTTTCCAAGAGATTTGTGAAAGCAATTATTTGACTCTGATTGCATTCTATAATTAATTGTAATTATGTTGTTTGAAGTTTAGTAGGGTCACATCTGTTCTGCATTGAGTAAATCTTTGTGGAGCCTGTGTCTGCTTTCCAGTGAAAGGTGTACAAGAGAGTCTGAAGTCCATCTGCAGATCTAAGCTTTAAATTAAGCTAGAATTTTTCAAGAATGCCTAACTAGCTTAGTTATTAATTAAAAAACCCAATGTAATTGAGAAACCAAATGACACAACGGCACTGTACTTTAAAGAAAATCTGGGTTTGCTCTGTTTTTACCTGGTGATGACTGAAAACTTTAGCTATAGTTAGTAGCACTGAGCCTCTTGCACCTTATGTTCTACACAGTCCAAAAGATCCCAGGGATGGATGACCTTTGAACTCAAAGTACACTCACGTGTATGTTAGTCTGAAAAATATTTAGTTTTCCCAGATATTCTTAAGAACCATTTTACCCATGGCTTACTTCTAACTTTACATTTTCTTTAGGTGTTTTGACTACTTAGCTTTTGTCACTTCCCTGCAAAACTGCTTTCTTCCCAATATAAAAAGGGGAAAAGTAGAAAAACATTAGTATGTATATACAATCGTGATTCTTGTTTAAATGTCTCATGGTACTCCTCTACAAATCAGATACTTCTTGAGTTAATATTCGCTTGGTTTAGTGTTAACTTTTGGAGAATATGCAATAAACCCTCTACCATCAATTGTAGAGTTTTACTGTGGGTAGTAGTAATATTCTGAGTGAAGAATTAACAGATTTCTTTTTTCATTGTTACTATCCTTTCTGTAACTGTTTTACATCCAGCTCTCTTTCCAGCTCACCCCTGCCCCCAGATGAAGGAACCATCTCTGGCAATGCAGGGGCTTGGGAGCTTGGGACATCTTGTGTTAATTTTACAAGGCTGCCACCAGTTACAAATACCAGCATTATCATAGAAAGAGAAAATATTTTCATTCTATACCTATTACCTTTTTCTAATTTCTATTTTGCCATAATTTCAAGATACTGTAGGCATGAACAGCTGAAGATTTGTTTCAGATAAGCTTTCTTTTTAATATGTTTTGAGAAGCCACTGTCATGTTTGAGGCTTGGTCATCTAACATGTCATTTTTTGAAAAATAGGAATCAGTATTGTTGTGTGTGATGTTGATAAGGCACTTTGCTTGAGTATTTGTAAAAAAGTATATGCAAAGAGGATTTACATTTGTTAAAAAGCAATTGGAGAAAATCCTGATTAATTTTGATCAAATATTTTGTTAACTGTTCACATCGTCCTCACGTCTTCTCTCTTTGGTTATTTTCTTGTGTATGTGGGGTAAAATAATAATTGTTCCTGTGTTTTGTATTTTTTGTTTGGTTTATTTGTCAGAAATTTATGTAGAGTAATACAAGGCTTTCATAGCATGTTTTTATGGGAGGAGTTTGAAGATGTATTGTCTGTAAAATAAAGTACTAATCTTTCTGTAGATGGCTACAAATGATCTGATGATTTGCATAGTGAAAATTGTGATAGTGATTTGGAGCTTTTTATCTGATTTCATTTTCAACAGGAAAATCATTCTATGCGAAATGCACATAAAGCTTAATTCTCAGCCCTAATCTGGGATTGCTCTACCAATAATGATTACAAAAATATTGATTCCCTTTATCTTTATAAAGTATCTTAATGTATTTGGTAGAACCCACAGTGTCAAGCAGATGTATTTGGTTGTAATTTACTGCTCAGAAATAATTGTACTGGAAGGGATCTTACTGAAAGAAGTTAGTAACATAGTGATTGCTTCTGGTTTTACAGTATACATTCATATATATGTGATGTTTAACTTCCATAGATAAATATGTTATATGCTTTGCTGTGAAAAATACAATATCAGTTTTTCCGTGTTTTAGATTAAATAAGATTATGAATCAGGTGGCCATTCAGCGAAAGAAGCATTTTGTTGAACGAGTGCACAGTTACTGGTTGCTTAAAAGACTGTCTAGGAATGGTGTTCCACTCTTGAGAAGGCTGCAATCCAGTTTACAGTCACAAAGAAACACACAACAGGTATGTGACATACTTTTTATTTATAAGCAGAAATTGGAAATTTTCCGTTTTAGTGAGTTAAAAATAAACTGGGAAGCCTAGCACAAAGTAAAAACTTCTTTTACTCAGGACTGAAGAAATTCTTTACCCTGTTCTGAAGTGATATTACCTATTTTGGCAGTTGGGAATTATCTAATACTTTTTAATACGTGACATGAAAAAAAAAATTGCAGCTTTTTCTTCTGTTTTGCTTAAATGTTTCACAAAAATACTGTCATCACAAATATCATAGTGCCATTATTCTTCGGTAAGTGTTGTAGTTTTTTGGAATTCATTCTTCAATGTACTGTCAGATAAAAAATAAAAGTTATATTAAATTCATCAAAAGCTGCAGAGCAGATGTCGTATTTGACAGTTGAAAAAAACGTGGATTTTAATAAGGTAAAGGGTTAGACAGCTAGTTTACAGTTTTCAAATTCAGATCTGTATTGCCCACCTTGGTTGGTAATAACAAAGTGCAAGTTGGTGATGAAGTTCAAAGACCTGTTTCAGCTTCTGGTTTGATTTTGACACAGTTAAGTGGGACTGTAGACAAGCATAAGTTCAGTTGTACACTCCTCTGAATAAGTTGTTGAAAAACATCAAAACAGCAACTCCAGGTGGTCTGTTTTGGTTTCAAGTTACTGGATAGCTTCAAAAATAATTAAAATGTCTGAATTGTGTACATGTAGACTTTGAAATGCTATGAAGCATCATGATGTGGAAATTTTTACTGCATCCAAGTTACCTTTTTGAATGGAATGGAATGTGTAGGTGGGTGTGTTCTTTCCATTCTCCTGGTGCTTGACTTCCTGTAAAATAGCTTCTAAAATGTAGCAATTAATTTTATAATAATTTACTCGTATTAAATTGAATTTTTTCTCCCCGCTGAAGTGGAACTGTTATTTTTGTCAGAATTGTATTTCTGTTTGCTGATTAAGTAATTGATTGATGTAGTCATAAAAAATACCGTGGTCAACACTGCTTCCTAATTAGTTGATCTGTCATGTTTGTGTGTGTTTATTTTTTTAGCTGTTCTTGTGGAAAAAAAATCTAATTAGTAATTTCCAGATTAATTGAGATTGGAAAGGACCTCTGGAGGTCATCTGATACAACCCCACTGCTCAAGCAGGGTCACTTAGAACAGGTTGTCCAGCACCATGTCCAGCTGGCTTTTGAGTTATCCAAGGGTGGAAACTCCACAACTTCTCTGGGCAGCTGTGCCAGTGCTTGGTCACCCTTACAGTTTAGAAAGAAACCAAGAGTCTTCTGATGCCTGTTCTTACTTTGTGCCATTGCCTCTTGTGTTGTCACTGGGCACCTCTGAATGGAGCCTGGCTCTATGTTTTTGCCTCCTCCCTTCAAGTATTTAGGTTGGTGAGATTTCTGCTCCTGAGCCTTTTCTCCTCCAGGCTAAACGGTTTGAGCTCTCTCAGCCTTTCCTCATAGCTGAGATTCTCGAATTCCATTTACATGGACTCCTTTTAGGTGAAGTCAGCTTTGAATATAAACCAGCTACTTGTTTATCTTGTTTTCATTGTTTCTATATAACTACATTTTAAAATTTGATTCATCTTTTACTTCTGTATTAGAGGTTTGAAAAGTGATACTTAGCAGTGTACCTAGTGTTACCTAATAATAGTTGAAATTAATTTGTTGAGACAATAAACTTCTTTTTAAATGAGCTTGAGTCCTTATAAAATACTAAAGGCAAGCAAGGTGCTATTGTGGCAGCATAGAACTAGACCACTGTCAGTGTCCAAAAAATTACACAAGCCAGTTTTCTTCTGGGATGACATGATAAGGGTGCAACATTGCTATGTATTTAAATAATGATTATCACAATAAAACTATTATTGTAATTAATGTTTGATTAAAATAAAATAGGCCTTTAATATGAGCATTTTAAAATTCAGTTGTCTGTTTACACTTCGGTACAAACAAAACTACTACAAAAGTAGTTCTTTATTGTCTTTTCTAATTTGAGAATGATTCTTAAATAAGGAAATATATTCTAAATAAATTGGAAGCTATTTATATTGGTGTGTTGAAAAGTTTATTCTTTTGAAAAGTAAAATCTTGTTCCAAGGTGAGCTGAGTAATAAATGAGTCTGTTGATGAAAAATGTGTAGTTAGTGCTTTTGAGTGAGTAGCAAGTGTCCTGTGTATGACATTGTGTCTTTTTCAGAGCACTTTCAATAGCTATTTATTAAAGCAGTCATAACTGCAAGGCAGTGAATGTATTTTGTTACTCCCAAGTATAAACCAATTTGTAATCAAGACAATAAACAACAGTGGCATACCTGTTGTGAGAACACCTTAAAAAGTTTTAGATTATTTTGTTAATTTCAGTCCAGATGGGAAAATTCTTTTTATTTTATGTGAGGGGTCAGAATATTAAGATACCTACATAGATTTTTCAGTTTATCAAATATAAACAGTGATGTAATAAGATCCAGGGATTTTTAAAAATTGTTGTTTAAACAGAAAAGAAGTGCTATAATGATGAACCAAAACCCTGAAAATGGTTTAAGAATGTATGGTAGAAAGTGGTTTTGGTCCCTCTCTGTTTGGTTACTAGAACAAATTTGGCAAAGGGAGAGGTCTTCATGATCTAGACTTACTTCCTAATAAATGTGTTTCACAGTTTAGTTATGGTATGGTTTTGAAGATCTAAGAGTTCTAGACCAGGCTAAATGACCTGGACTGCCTCACCATTTGCAGGAACAAGGAACTCTGTAAGAGAATGGTTTATGCTTTCACTTCTCTCTCCACCTAGAGAAATTAAGGAAAGGTATTGGAATACTCTTAAGAAATTTACATCCTCATTATTTTAGGTTTTTTTCCCTGAACTTTAAGAATGCTTGAATGAAAATATAGCATGAAATATAAGTGTAGAAGCTTGCTGCTGCTGCAGTGATGATGTCAGTTTAAAGCCACTGTTAGAAGAAATAAAAGAGAAGGTGCTGATGACTTAAGGTCACACCTGCACAGAGATTTCATTAAGGACACAAGTTGCAACCACTAAATGGTTTTGTCTGATTGCCATACAAGTCCAGCAGAGCATGCTAATAAAATGAATTGTATTGCTTAAGGTCCAGTTGCATCACTGTCATTCTATTTCTGTTTGTATCATATTAAGTTACAGCCTCTCTAAGGAGTGAGGCTGTTCTCACACATTCACATCCAGCAGGAGGAGGGGTATGGTGCTACACTGACAGTATTCCTGCTGGTATGGAGACATTGGTAGCATACTAATGCTGAGACAAGTTCTCAGCTGCTGCATGTTTTGTGTAGACTTAAAAACGTTTTCCTCTTCTCTCAGTATCAACAAATAGGTAATATTCTAGGTAATACTTAATACTAGGTAATATTTCTAGGTAATACTGTGTTCAGCAATAACTTAGTCCACTGGAAAACCATAGACTCACAGAATGGTTTAGAGTGGAAGGGTCCTTAAAGACCATTTAGTTCTCACATACTGCCATGGGCAGGAACAGCTTCCACTGGACCAGGTTACTCAATGCCCCACCCAACCTGACCTTGAACACTGTCTGGGAATGGGACATTAACAGCTTCTCTGGGCAATCTGTTCCAGTGCCACACCACCCTCACAGCCAAGAATTTCTTCCTAATATCTAATCTAAATTTCTCTTCTTTCAGTTTTAACTCATTGCTCCTTGTCCTAGTTCCTGATGAAGAGTCCCTCTCCAAATGAGAATTCCTATATAAATTTTTCTTGTGTCATCAGCCAAATGAAACTTGGTGGTTGTCAGGACAGTTGTAAAAAGAAGGAAGAAGAAGAACTTCCTTACGAGAAAGTTAATAGAAACTTTCTATGTCAGAAAGCTAAAAAAGTTGAATGGAATCCTTTGTATCTTGAGTTTTTGCTGGTTGGTTGTTGGAAACAATATCATGCTCTCTTCAACTTTCATGGATCTTTAATCTAATTAAGGTATATGTTGTATGTCAGATAATAAATAGGTTAGGGCAAAGGAGAGTTATATTAGCTATTAAGTTGTAAACTGTCTGCAAGCATTACTTTGCATAGAAGTGTCAAAATATTGGAGGCTTGCTATTAATCTCCAAACCAGAGTGCCATTTGGAAAGGTAGTGTATGTGTGCAGAAAAAAAAGGGTGGCAGGGTACTTTTGATACTTTGGGTCATATCTGCAGATTGACAAGTATGTGCCTATTATATGGAATTAAATTGGTTGGTAAAACAACTTGATTCAGGTAAAATATTTTTATTTTATTTGCGTGCAACTGCACCTTGAGGTTCAGCCAAGTACTTAAGTATCTAATAAACTACCCTAAGGCTAGCTGTAACATTATTTTTTCTTGCTGTATTTAGGTTTCCTGCCCACCCTAGAACTAGTACAATTTGTTGACTTAGCTTTCAGCAGGCTCAGTTCCCCAATTGCTTAAATTATGCAGTTAAATATGGCAAAAGAGCAGGCTCTGAATATTTGCAAGAAAAGGGAGGATGAGTCTGCTACTTCTGGCAGTTTAATTTTGGTTCTGACAAACAGCAGAACTGAAAAAATGGTACAACTAAGATTTGGGTTGCATTTCCACGCATGAGGTTTATACTTGGAGATGAAGGGGTTTAGGAGAGTAGCAGTGGCACTGTAGTGGCAGTGTTAGTGGCAGTTAGGCTTCCTATTTCAGTGAGTCTCCTCAGAATTTTAAAGAATTGAAAATTATTGAAAATATTAATACTCTTATCTGTCAAAACTTACTTTGAACCATTCTGACCCCAGCAGTTAAATTATCTTGTGTCTATGTAAAGATTTAACTCTTTAAAAGAAATTAGAAGTGTCAATTGTAATAGTCATTGGGAAAGGGAACTAGAAGTTTCTAGCTCCTGTTTTTAGGTTGTTGGGGTAGGGTATTTTTTGTGGGGTTTGTTTGTTTGGTTTTTTGTAGTTGTTTGGGGTTTTTGTGTTTTTGTTGGCTTTTTTAGGTGGTGTTGTTGTTGTTGTTTTGTTTTTCTTAATGAAAAGAAAATGAAATACAGTTTCTTAATGAAACTGTTATTTCCAGATTGGTATATTCTAGTGCAGAAATGGTTGATATTTTAAGTATTTTCAGCTTCACTGAAGTCAGAGATTTGAATAAAACTTAAGCTTTACCTTTGCAAAGTACATGAAGCAATAAAATACAATGCAGATGATAGAATTATAGCGCTGGCAAATCTATTAGATAATGTTTTTAAGCTTCCAGCTAGGAAGGGCCAGCTATCTGAAAAAATTGCACAAACTTTCTTTAGAGGACCTATGGTACTTCTAAATTATTCTTTTAATGAATTTTTGGCTTTTGGTGTAATACTTTGTAATGTTGTTTGTTGTTCATCTCCTTAGTCATTTTCCTTTATTCCTCTGTCTCCCATATATAAAAGCTGATGGAATTTAGTGGTTTTGTTTTAGGTTTTAGAACACCCTCCAAGATGACCTAGGTATATATTGCATTTTGCCAGTTACAGGCAAGCATGCAAAGTTTTGGATATCTCTCAGATACACTTTTATAAAAGACTCATTTTTCAAATGTAATAATTTTCCAAAACAGATGTTTCTTTTGTGTAATTGGTACGAATATCAGGCAGTTTCTTTATGGCCTCATTTCTGATGAATTACCAATACCATTTGAATTCTGGAAGTCATATTCTAGTATCCTCCCTTTTTCTTATGAAAAAATAGTAAAGGCAAACAAACACTCTGGGTTTTGTATGTACAAATCAATGTAAATACTACAAGTGTTTAAACATTGCTTACTCTGAAAATGTAAATTAAATTCTTTCATCCCTTTTCCAAAAGAGTGTATTGCTGCATTATTCACCAGCAATATAATTTGAAGTTACTCTGTTATCTAATAAACAGCTTTTAATTTCCTGTCCTCACAAGCCATAATTATTTTGTTTTGTTACAAGTGTGTCCTAGTTCTGCTGGGTGTGAGGGAGGTGGACTGTGTTGACCACATGAATAATTTGTTTCTGCCAGGCTGGAGCTTCTGAAGAAACTGGTAGTGTTCACCTAGTTTGGATTTTGATGCGAAAATCCTGTATTGTATTTTGCAGCGTGTTGTATTTCTCAGTTGCTGTTTGCTGTGTTGCTTCTTCTGATGTCAATAGCCATTGCCATATGATTGCTTTCTAGTTTAGATTTTATTTTCAGTTAGACCCTCAAGTAACTCTGGAAGATACTCTGACCACAGGTTTTCTGTTGTTGCAACATGAAGCATATGAGCAAGTGCCATAACTTGGTCACAGTAGATTCTCATTTCATGTGCATACGTTTTGTGGTTGAATGGAACTATCTTATAAAAAGAGATATGCATTTTTCTTTTCATGAAAATGTTTTGATTGTTTTCTTAGAGAGAAGATGATGAAGAAATGCAAGCCTTAAAAGAAAAATTGAAGTACTGGCAAAGGCTGCGCCATGATCTTGAAAGAGCACGTTTATTGATAGAACTCATACGTAAGCGTGAAAAATTAAAAAGAGAACAGGTAAATGAAACACCTTTTACTTTGGTGAAGCTTTTCTGAAGGAAAGATAATTCAAGTATTCTTACAGGTTTTTCAGTAGAAGGATAGCTGTATTTTAATCCTTTTAGGGTCAAGTAACATATGTACATGCTGTGCACTGAAACTATTTAAAATATATGAAATTTTCATAGAATCGCTTGGGTTGAAAGGAACATTAAGGATTGTATTGTCCCAACCCCTCTTCAATAAACAGGAACATCTTCAACTAGATCAGGTTGATCAAAGCCCCATCCAATCTAATCTTTAATTTTAACAGGAGTAAGGCATTTACTATCTCTCTGGGCAACCTCTTGTTCCAGTGCTTCACCCTCATTGTAAAAAAATTCTTCTTTATATGTAGTCTGAATCTACCCTCTTAGTTTAAAACTGTACGCCTTGTCCAGCACCCTCATTGTAAAAAAATTTTTCTTTATATGTAGTCTGAATCTACCCTCTTTTAGTTTAAAACTGTATGCCTTGTCCAGTCACTACAGGCCCTACTAATCAGTTTGTCCCCATTTACTTATAAACCTCCTTTAAGTACTGACAGGCTGCAGTAAAGTCTCATTTGGGCCCTCTCTTCTCCAGGATGTGCAGCCCCATTTCTCTCATCCTTTCTTCAGAAGAGAGCTCCAGTCTGATCGTATTAGTGGCCCTCCTCTGGACCCACTCCCAACAGCTTTATGCCTTATGGTGGGGGCTGCAGAGCTGGATGCAGCAGTCCAGGTGGGGCCAAATGAGGGCAGAGTAGAGGGACAGAATCACCTCCCTTGACCTGCTGGCCACACTCTTTTGATACAGCCCTGGGTGCAGTTGACTTTCTGGGCTGCAAGCATACTCTGCCGGCTCATACTGAGGTTTTCATCCACCAGTACACTCAAGTTCTTGACGGGGCTGGAGCTATTAATCTCTCAGCTGGTACTGATACCTGGGGTTGTCACAACCCAGTTGCTGGAGGACCTTTTTGAACCCCATGAGATTCCCATGGGGCCCACTTCTTGAGTTTGACTGTGTCTGGGTGGGATCCTGTCCTTCAGGTGTGTCAACTGCACAATTCATCTTGGTGTCATCTGCAGATTTGTTGCGGGTATACTTGGTCCTTTGGTCTTAGGTCATTGATGAAAATATTAACTGTACTACTGGTCCCAGTACAGACCCCTGAGGAACACCACTCATTACTGATCTCCAACCAGAGTCCAAGCCATTGATCACTGCTCTCAGGGTGCAGCCATCCAGCCAATTCCTCACCTGTGGAGCAGTCCAGCCCTTGAATCCATCTCTCTTCAGTTTAGAGAGAGGGATGTTGTTGAGGACCATGTCAGAGGCGTTAGAGAAGTCCAGATAGATGACATTTTCCCTTATCTGCTTAAAAGAGTTACTCCATCATAGAAGGCCACTAGGTTGGTCAGACTACTAGGTTAGTTAGGCAGGACTTACCTTTTGTAAGGCTGTGCTGGCTGTCGTGAATCATCTCCTTTTGCCCTACATGGAAGCTTTGCCTTGTAAAGTTATCCATAATGCACTCCAGGAATCTCCTGCAGCTCGTTGTGGTACTTTTCCACATGTCAGAGTGGTTGAAGTCCCCGTCCGGACAGGAGCGTGTAAAAGCAGTGCCTGTCTGTAGCTGGAGCAGAAAGGCTTTGTCAATAGTCTCCCCTAGATCTGAAATAAATACCAACCACAAGGTTCCTTCTTTCACCTTGGTGCCTAAGATTTCAATCTTGCTCATGGCTTTTCTTGAGACAACTCCCCAGAGTATGTTCATTTCTCATTTTAGAAGGCAACCCCACTGCCCCTTGGTATGCTCTTGGCCCTTCTGACCATCCATAGTCACACTTCAGTTGTGGGATTTGTCCTACCAAATTTCGGTAATGGAAATAAGGGTGTAGCTCTCTACCAGCACTGTGACCTCCAGCTCCTCCTGTTTGTTGTCCATGCTGTATGCGCTGGTATAGAGAAATTATTTAAGACACTCTCTTAGACTTACAAAAATGATTGGTTTCCAAAGAACTGTAGAAGATTTGATCTGTTCAGGTTTTCTCAATACATGCCCATATACTTAGTAGCACTTTTATCCTTCTGTCAAGAAAAAAGCAGAAATAAAAGCTGCATCTGAAGTCCTACAGCATTCTGCAGTTAACATTGCCAGGAGAAGAGATTTGAGGAAGTGATAATGCAGAAAGATAAAATCTTAAGTGAAAACTGAACGCAAAATATTTGCACTTAGTTTTTAATGGTCCTTATTTATAAAAACACCGTTTCATTTTTATTATTGCAAACTGTGAACATTTGTTGCCAGCTAAAATAATTTGTCCTTCTGGAGTGCTTACTGGAATTCTACGCATCATTCACGTGTATTCACATATCACTTGCTTTACAAATGTATTTATAAGCATGTACTTTATGTATGTGAGTTTGCTTATACTTTATTTACACGTATATTATATGTATGCACACACATCTTTAATCTTTCATTAAGGATTTACTTTAGCCATAGCAAGACTGTTTCATTGTTGACATCTCTTAAAATGGCTTGAAAATTAAGCTGCCGAGCAATCTACATAGTGCCAAAAATAAAAAAATATCTGAAGGATATTGAAGTATTTGAAGATATTGATTCCGTTTTTTGAAATAATTTTCTTGGAATTTATGTAGAACATCGTCTTTCAGATTACTCTTTGTTTTGGTCTTATGTTGCCTGTAAATCAGATTCTCTTTTTAAACTTCAGACATAGCAGTAAAACTGAAATTTAATTTGAAACATTACCTTTAAACTCTTACTATTTTCACATGGTTGGTGAATTGTGAAGCTGTTATTATATAGCATCTTTTAAAAAAATACATTTAAAAATGGAACAAAATTCTTACGTATAAAACACAAATTTGTGTTCTGGGAAACTGGAGTTGAAGGAATAAGGATGTTTTTTTCTTATGGAATCAGCTGAAAACCTATGTCAGATAAATTCCAACTGATGATATTGAAAGTAATACTGAACTCATTTACTTAAATTTATTTATATTTTATATGTTATCTACTATACTATACTACTGCTGCTAAACAACTTTAATACAGTATTTTAGTGGAAAATGCTCAGTTGGATAACTGTTGCTTCTTTAGGTCAAGCTTGAGCAGGTTACTATGGAACTTCAGCTTATTCCATTCACTGTACTTCTGCGGTCGGTTCTGGATCAGCTGCAGGAAAAGGATTCTGCTCGTATATTTGCTCAGCCAGTGAACCTTAAAGAGGTACGTTTGCAGCTGTGTTTCGTGATGTTTACATGTGGCTTGGTGGCACTTAAGTACAGGAAACAAGTCATTACATGCAGAGTTGGAAGCAGTGTTAGCTTTTCATCTTTATTCTGATAATTAACATTATGAGTTATGGTCTACTGCTATGGAAACATTTTTATGCTTATATACCAAAATAATTTCTGGGAAATAACCCATTCTTGTATAGAATGTTGGGTTCATACTGTTACTTTGCAGTAAGATGATTTTGGTAAAGCAAATTTCAAGGGTGTCAAAAATTGCAATGCAGATACTGTGTTCTTACTTGAAGGTCAGACTACACAGATTAGAGTATACATGTGTGCATTTGTGCATATACTGCATAAACATCTGTTTATTATATGTGGAGTCATTAAGGTTGAAAAAGGCTGCCAAGATCATCAAGTCCAGTCTTTGCCCTAATACCAGTATGCCGACTAAAGCATATCGCAAAGTGCACTCCATGGACAGCCACTGCACCAGCTCCCTGAGGAGCCTGTTCAATTCTTAACCAGCCTTTCAGTCTAGAAATCTTTCCTAATATCCAAGCTGAATTGCCCCTGCCACAACTTGAGGCCATTTTCCCTTGTTTCTATCACGAGTTGCCTGAAAGTAGGAGTACATAAAACCACACAATTCCCAATAAAAAGTAGTTTCAGCATCTCTCAGTAGAGCTCAAACTTGTTACCCGAGATGCAGAATATTGTAATATGTAAACTTCTGTTGGCATGCAAATGTTTGCAATATCTAGATGTGTTGCATTTTTAATTTCTTCTATTGAGGTGTTACAAGATAAGTTTAAGAAGCAGATCAGTTACTAACTAATGTTACTTTGTCTGTAATTAGACAATTTTACCCATTTGTGTTTTAAATATTTATTTGAAGGTTCCAGACTATTTGGATCATATTAAACATCCTATGGATTTCTCTACCATGCGGAAACGGTTAGAAGCTCAAGGCTATAAAAACCTCACTGAGTTTGAAGAAGACTTCAATCTGATCATAGATAACTGTATGAAATACAATGCAAAAGATACAATATTTTATAGAGCTGCAGTGCGGTTAAGAGATCAAGGAGGTGTAGTTCTCAGGCAAGCCAGGCGAGATGCTGAAGGAATTGGTTATAACAATGAAACTGGAATGCACTTACCAGAACGGCCTAAACTTGAGTCACCCCAGCCTTTCTCTTGGGAAGATGGTAAGATGTTTTTCAGTTATTTTGGAAAGTTGCATTTTTCATTGCATACAGTGTGTATATTCCACACAGATGTTTAGGATTGTTGCTCTCCAGTTTGCTAACTAGATTCTCCACTGCTCGTTAAAAACATTGCTTGAAAGAGTCTGGTGTTTCTATTCTACCAGATCTGTCATAAATCTGGATTCTGATTTTGGCAGTGTCAGAGCCTGATTTAACAATTTATGCAGAAAAGGTTTTTTTTTTTAAGTTGAGTGCTTTCTTTCACGTGATCGTATATGCTTGTAAGGCATGGAAAATGAATACCAGTATTCATGAACTTCAGCACATTCCTGAGTAACCTATTCAAAAAATTGAGCACATTTGTAATACTAGGAATTAAATAGTTTTTTTTTGACATACACATGAGTTTTCTGAGGTTTGGCAGTGGAGAATAATTAACACATTTCTTTTATAACCATAATTTTATCCTTTTCTTTATCAAGAAGGAATTTGTTAAAGTGGGAAGGATTAATTATGTCTTCCTTCTGACCTTTTATTTCTTTGTTCTGCTACTTAGTTTTTTTGATCAAAATGCTGAGTAAGAAAAATGGTAAATATATGGTAGGAATAGTAGGAATTAATTAATAAATAGTAGGAATTTAAATTAATGAATACATAGTAGGAATTAATTTCAATATTTCGGACTATAAATAGGTTTTTGACGGTATAATTATGTCTTCCTTCTGACCTTTTATTTCTTTGTTCTGCTACTTAATTTTTTTGATCAAAATGCTGATTAAGAAAAATGGTAAATATATAGTAGGAATAGTAGGAATTAATGAAATAGTAGGAATTTAAATTAATTAATATATAGTAGGAATTAATTTCAAGATTTCTGACTATAATCTAAATAGGTTTTTGACAGTATTTTTTTTATTTTGGCATGCGAATTCAGTTTTTTTCCTTTTGTTGTATTACTGTTCTGAGAATATTCTGGGAAATGCTAACACATTTTCAATTGTACGTGTTTTGACTTTAGTGGATAGGTTACTGAATCCTGCAAACAGAGCACATATGTCCTTGGAAGAACAGCTGAGAGAGCTGCTAGAAAAACTTGATCTCACCTGTGCAATGAAATCCAGTGGGTCAAGGAGCAAAAGAGCAAAGCTGTTAAAGAAAGAAATCAGCATTATTCGCAACAAACTCAGTCAGCAACACAACCAAGCTCCTCAAATAGAGTCAGGTATTGGAAGTTTCGAGGAAGAAAGTGCAGCATTAGAACAAGATGGAGAAGAAGAAGGTAAGATTGTAAACCAGGTTTAAGCTGTTCTGAGTCGCTTCAGTCAGGTGCTGTGATGTGAGTAATAGTGTGAATTAAAGAATCTGATTAACTAATATTAAATTTAAAATATTGTTTTTAAAATTAAAAGAATAGTTTTAAAATATGAAAATAGCTGCCTAATCACAACAAATGTTTTAAGAGTAAAAGTATCTTCTTAAAAAAAACTACCTCCCTTACTTTTTATGGTAGCAAAGGGTTAAAAAAGGAAAGTGCAACCAATCTCATAGGAATAGCAGCTGGAAATGCTTGAGTGGAAAATACCTTTTCACTTTTGGAAATACACTTAAATTTCAAAATATGTATTAGGGATCATGTGAGCCTAGGTCAATGGTAATGAAGACTGGCTGTTATACTGTCTTTGTAGCCTTTTTTATTCACTACTCCAGACTCTAGGCAGGAGAGTGGGTAGGCTTTGGGGTTATTTGTTTATTTATTTATCTATTTTAAGTAAAACTAACTATTGATAAGACTTAACCAATTTCATGTTGTAGAATTAAGTCAGCCACATCTGCCTAGCTCTTCCCCTTTTGCTTCTCTTCCTCCTCAAAACATTTGTCTCAGAACTTGTCTACTCTTGGCTAATTGCCATTGATTTCAATGAGAGCAGTGTGCTGGAAGCACTAACTTAATATTTTAATTAAATATAGTATTTGCAATTTTTAGCTTTTAAATTGAGTTTCTGAGGTTTTTATTGCTCATTTTTAAATTATGCAAAGAAAATCTGTCACTCAAGTAAGAATTCTATTGGCTTTCTTTCATGATTAGCTCTAAGGAACTAAACTTTTTCTTTAGGAGAGTTAGAGATGCGTTTCATTTTTGAAAAAGTGCATTGAATAGGAGGAGGAAAGAGCTCAAGGGAAAGTGGAAGCATGGTAATAAATAAAATAGTCTCTATTTGTTGTGGCTTGGTGCTCTCCACATTTTTGAAAGGTGAAGTCAATTAAATGATTGTCCTTAACTGCCATTCAAACAGCAACTTGGTGTTTAGTTCCAAACAGAACTTGCTGGAGATTTGAGCCTTGGTAGAAAAAGTGTACATGAATCAGCACACTATTTTGTTCTGAGGCTTTTAAGTGTTTTTAAAATGTTTAATGGTTTGGATTTTTTAAATTTGGGTATTTTTTAATCTTCAAGTGATGATGGTATTAAATACAGTTCTTTAGGAATGTGGGGTTTGGCACCTAATGAATCCACAACCTTTTTTTTATTTGTAGCTTAACATTCTGATGCCACAGCCTTTTACTTCAGCAGTTTTTTATGAAAAAAGTAGTCCAAAGTGAACAGTAGTGGTTTTCTTATATTTACAGTAGGCTTTGTAAATAAAACATGATGAAAGGCATGATCCAGGTTTGATTGGTATGGTAGTTATGGCTTTGGTTTAGAGGAGAGTAATGAAAATTAGTTCAAATTTCAGTTCATAAATGGAAGGTACATAGAGGAGTAAAGAGAACAAATGACCCAAAAAAAAAGATAAGAAAAATCCTGTGCCCAGGATCTCTGCAGGAGATGAGTTTGCTAGAACTCTGAATTACCTACTTGCAATTCAGTTTCCAGTCTTCAGTCATGTGAAAAATACAGTACCAGAACAACCCCGTGAAATTTAGGTTTTATTTCTAAATAATTCTCAAGTGGTTTTATGTTATTTAGTATTTCTGCAAATACTTTCTAATTAGTTGTAAGAAAATCAGAATTTGTTCACAAAGGAAGTCACCGTGGACATTTTAAAGTACAGGATTTTTTAATGGCTAATAGTTTAAATGTGTTTCTCTGGCTTTACATTTCATTCTACGGTCTTCTGAAATATTAGTTACCAGTTCTAATCCTGTGTGCCTGCAAGTGATGTAAGCACAATCACTGTATTTTAAAAACAGGTATTTTTAATATGAGCTATGCTGTTGTTTCATTAAACCTTAAACAACAGGGTAAACATTTTTTTGCACTTAGAAATAGTTGATTTCCAAGTCAAAACTGCTGAGCCAAAACCAAACAAAATAAACTGCAAATAGAGAACTTAAACACTTTGGGGTTTTACACCCTTCTTCAGGTGGCATAGAAAATTTAACTAAGTTTAAATATTTTACGTGATAGCATAAATAGTACATTAGTGTTATACAGTTACTCTAGAGTAAGTATTTCCTTTCTTGTATTTTGAAAGATTCTTTTGGAAGCTTTAACATCTTTTTGAATTGATAATTATGGGTTAGGACATCCTTATACTTGTATTAGGGAATGCTGCAATAGTAGAATGTTTATTTTGTTTCCCATTACTTGTGATGAAAAAAATGAAACTAGTTTTGTACACTCACTGTCATATCTCTCTCGTCTTTTCCTAGCATGGATTTAGTGGAATTGAGTGGGACAGGATTATACTTAAAAAGTGGGGGAGAAGGGGAGAAAAAGGCTAGAGGGTGGTTTTTCTGATTTCTCATATCAAATCTGCATTTATCAAATGTGTTATTTTTCAACTAGTGGCTAATCAAGCTGCAAGATTTTGGGGGTATTGGGTTTATCTTCTCCATTTTTATTACTTTTTTGTAGATAAAACTTCTGGTCAAAACTGTAAAAAGGTTTTACAAATCATGCCCTTGTGTAGATTTTGTAACACATTTTAGTTCACTCAAGTAGAACAGATTACAGGTACCTTTTTTTTTAATTGGTTAGCTGATAAAATTTTTCATAGGCAAGTAAGGTGAATATTGATAAGGTGAAATAGATAAAAACGTATGTTACAAAAAATTTTACTTGAATGGCAGTATAATTGCATTTAACAGATAATCATCCACCACCCCAACTTCCTAATGAAAAAATAGATTTTTTTAGTTAATGAAACTAACACAACTGCATGAGAAGAAGCAAGTACTTATCCAGGTATAAATTGTTAACACCAGCTATAGACGTCTTCTTTTCTACCCCTGTTACATTCCCAGTATAAAAGTAGGAACTACTAACTAGGACAGATTGTTGCTAGACAAGTTTTGGTTTTAAAATGTTATGCTTTGTTTCCAGACAACAATTTATTTGGTGGGCTGCACATTTATAGTGAGTTTTATAATAGACTTTATAACTACAGGTTTTCAAAAATCACACTCTATTTATAATTTTTTCAGGAGATAAATCTCCCCCTAAACTTGAACCATCAGATGCATTACCTCTTCCTTCAAACTTGGAGACTAATTCAGAACCACCAACCCTCAAACCAGTAGAACTCAATCCAGAGCAGAGTAAGCTTTACAAAAGAGTAAAATTTGATAATGAATTATATAGCACTTCCATTCAGAAAGAAATAAATGGACACACTCCAGAACACTTACTTGACAGTAATCTCAATGAGTCGACTGTTTCTGCTGTAGCTGAGTCATCAACTGATGTAAACAGACGTACATCCATTCTCTTCTGCAAATCGAAAAGTATAAGCCCCCAAAAGTCTGCAAAGAACACTGAAACCCAGCCAACTTCTCCACAGCTAGGGACCAAAACCTTTTTGTCTGTAGTCCTTCCAAGGTTGGAGACACTTCTGCACCCAAGGAAAAGATCAAGGAGTGCATGTGGAGATTCTGAGGTTGATGATGAGTCCCCTGTAAAGCGCTTGGATACAGGTAAATGTTTACAAAACTTATTTGAATGGATGCATCTGGAAAGTTAACATACCTGTTAATTTTTACATACATGTGATTGTTAATCTTCAGATTTTAGCATTTAAAACAGGTTGTCCTCATAGTTGAGTAGTTACAGTTCATAAAATTATTATTCATGTTTGTGTTGGCCCTTGACAGTTAGACTTACTGAATGAAGTTTGGGTTCTTTAGTTTTACAATGCAGTTTTTGAGATTACACACATGGGTGTATATGAAACCTGCAGGAAAGATGAATTGGCTGCTTTTTTGCAAATTCCGTGTTAAATTACATGGAAACTTGACGTGTGATGTCAAAACTAAAAGGCTTGTAAGCAGGAGCATAAAAAATACTTGTGCCATGTATGATTTCATTTTGCTGAGTGCTAACTCCAAGCATATTTTTATTTTTATGAAACTGATGACTGTGTATGAGGCACGTTGTATATCCATGTATTTTATGGAAGTGTTAAAACCCCAACATATAACAACGCTTCATGTGGTTTTTTTTTTAAGTCTGTGCGCTTTCAGTAGAGTTGAAGGTGAGATTATGCTCTTAATGAGACTTCTTTAAAGGATATGTGAAAGAAAATGTTATCTTAATACATTAGTGCAGACCAGCTCAAGACATTAATTATATCTTCTTAGCACGTCATAGTTCTGTTTATTTGAGAAGTTCATATAAAACCTTTGAGGAAGAAAAGCAGCATCAAAAGATTACTTATGGATACTTCCTTAATGTCATCCATGGCCATTGCTATAACTTTTATATTACTTTTGAAATAAATACTCTGTTACATTGTCATGTTGGGAACCCTTATGCAGGTATGAAAACAGTGTGTGGGGGTGGGTTTGTCTCTTTGAATGAAAGAGATAGGAGTTTCATTTGAACATTAGGTGTGAAGATGTGCTCCAAAAGCTGGGGGGACGGTGGGTTTATTTGGGGGAAAAGGGAAGTGTTGTTGATTTTTAGGTTGTTTCTTTTTGGTTTAGTGGGAATTTTGTTTGTTTTGAATAACAGGATTTAGGGATGTGGGGCAGTGCGCTTTTTTAATTGGTTGGTTGGTTGGGGTTTTTGTGAATGATCAGGTGAGGACACTAATGATTCTAATGCTGGAATCATAGTACGAGAAAATGTTATGTAAGAAGGAGTGAGGGGAATTGTTTTTCATTTATATTTTTGGGGTTTTGTTTGGTTTGCCTGTTTGGAAAGCCCCAACTTCCATTCATTTTCCGAACAACTTGGAAAGAGCGTGCAGATTTGATCTGGTACTTTAGTTCTGAAGTAAGGACAAGTGAAGACAGTGTGGTAGTAGAAGTTAGTTAATCTTTATTAATGACATAAAAAGCTTTGGTTTCCAAATATCCTAATTTGCCAGTTTATAACCTAGATAATTTCATTATCATGTACCTGTACATAGATTGCATTTTGTCACACACAGTGAATCATTTTGTGCTAGATCACACCGGGAATTAATACTAATGCCTTGAAATTTTTGTGTTAAACATGGTGAATTTTATCTTTAGGGGAAGAAAAGGTTTTTATTTTGTAAGAAAACTAACTTAATTCTTAAAGAGAAAAAAAAGGCAGCAACAAAACCAAAACCCACCAGATTTCTGAATACATTTAAATTCAGCCATTTTTCTTTCTAGCTGTGGAGTTAGGTGTATGTAGAGCAAATATGCTTTTGATTATCTTCAAAACTTAACAACCTAGTTAAAGTAATTTTAAAATTCTGTTAAAAGGTTTTTCCATTGTTAATTTAAAACAAAATTGCCTAGACTTTTTCTGAAGCTAGTAAAGATATAAAGAGAATTAAATTTATGTAGAACTAATACTTAGGGGGCATTTATAGTTAGAATTTGTACTTGTTCAAGAAGAGTGAATTGAAACAGTTTGGCCAATTAATATTCACCTGAAAATGTTCTAGTTATTCTTTAATAGTATGTCGTGTTTTAAGCATATATGGTTCATACAGATGTGGCAGTTTATCAGATCTTATTCCTTTGATTAGTTTGCTTGTTTACAAGCAAACATTTTGCTTTCATATAGGAAATTTTATTCCTCATGTTATTTTCAAATTTGTGTCTCCACACTAATTTAAGTAATTTGCAGTTGGCAGCTATCTTGAGCTACAGTTAAGCAGGAAACCAGCACAAATGTCAGATACGTACCAAGACTTAAAAACAGTTGAGATTTTTCTGTGTATGCAGCTGGTATTGATCCATGTAGATGTCTGTGTTATGATAAAAATGCATTTGGTGATGTATACAGCAATACATTCTTTCTCTTTGGTTATTTTTTATAAAATTTAATCTCATGCTGTAGGTAAAAATGTTTTTATTCAGTAGAATCCAGCAAAGCTTTTTCTTCCAAAGCCATCCAATCATAGGAAAAGGCATGCAACAGGCTTCTTGTGTGCATTGACATGGGTTATCAGCTTTGTGGGAAATCCCTGTAGTTGAAAATGAATTATTGTTGCACAGTTTTCTTTGAATGGTGTGAATATTAACTGTCCTTAATTTTACTGAATACAGAAAAAATCATGAAAAAGAACCACTTATTGTGGCAAGGATTGAAATTTTCAAGTGGTCGAGAGCTGCACTGTCATATATTTTTTCTTTCTTACCTATTCATAGCCAGTATGAGGGTTTTTGACATTATTTAAGGATGTCTTGTTTCTGTCCCTTACTCTTCAGTCTCTTCAGCGTTTCCCTTTCTTATCACTGCTGTATTCTTACATGACAAAGTTCAAAGGAAGACTCTAAAATTTATTTGAGTGAAATAAACCACACCTACCTGGTTGTTTCATTATTCTTATAGACTGCTTTTATTGTGCTCGCTTGAGTTACATTTGGGGTTAAGGTTTTTCCAGTTATTTTCAAGAAAGAGACCTAGAATCCACTGACACGCTCGTTGTGTGGTGTCCCACATGCTATTGGCTTTCATACATAAGATTACTGAAATGCCAGCTCTTTTTCAGAAATGAGGGACTACTGAACAACGTGAGTTAGCCTTCAAAGAGAACTGAAAGCAGTTCATTTCAATACTGTGACCTTTCATATGTGCATCTTTAAAATACATGAAGCAGGAGTGTAATGTAATCTTAAATTTAAATTTTCTAGTGTTCTACTAGGGCATTACCACAGAGTACATCTGTCTGTAGTTGCTGTGTAGAAACTGATAGCGGCATAGTGGAGACATGTTTAAAAATTTCCTATACATATTTGATGTATTTTGAGTTTGCGTCACATTGTATCTAGCAACAATTACCAAAAGAAGATTGTTGGTTTACCTAGGAAATTTTGGTGACATCAGAGATTGGTGTGTGATCCTTGAAGGTTGGGCATGTCAAGTCTTAACTGTGACAAGTTTAATGACCTTTTCAAAATACCCATTGTATACTTACCTCACTCTTTTGTTACAAAGATGAATCATTTTTGTCAGGGAAATATTTTGTGCAGTTATTACTGCAGTTTTTTCTCTGCAGTATTAATGGGTAGAAGGTAGATTTTACTGACCATTAAAAATCTGCCTGTATCCATCTGCTATCTTATTAGTAAGATAGCAGATGGAACAAATTATTGTTTCAAGAAACCTTTTTTAACATTGTAAAATGCTAGATTATGTTCAGATTAAATTTGCCTGTGTACTTGTGTTATTAGTCATCTCTAAGGTTTGTAAATTTGGGTTTTATAATTCATAGTTGCTGTTACAGTGCTCTCTATTTTAATTAGAAACTTAGTATTTAAAATACACTATCCTAAAAACACCACTGTAACTTACCATAGAATCAGGATTTTAGATCGTGGTTATTATAGTGCAGAATGTTGTGTTTCTATTATTTCTTTTCAAGTGTAGTAGTAGAAAATTTCAGTAACGTGTATAATCTACTTCATATTTTAACTTCCAGCTACACAGATTTTCTCAAAGTACTGAAACACATGTAAACAAGTATTTAGAATATGGATCACTGAAGTAGAATATTCACATAGTAAAATGCACAGAGTGAGGGAATTAATAATTTCTTAATGCATACTTCACATACAGTTATCAGTATACAACAAAAATTCCTTATTAAACCTGTTAGTAAATGTTGGGCTGACTTTGTTTCTGCTCAACTACAACAAAGTGGTGACAAGTAACCTGTATACGAATTCCATTTGCATTTGATCGAATTTAATATTGTAGTGAGGACTTAAAACTTAATTTGATATGATAAGAGTAGACATTGTGTCTGGACTGAAATGGAACACAGTTCATTATTTTAATTCTTGAGTACTTGATTTCTAATGAATCTTTGCCTCTCTGGAACACAGGCCAATTTGGCTAAAAATGAGGCTTCATATGCACAGCATTCATTACCATTCTATAAATTGAGGAAGTGAAAGTAAAACATGCATGTCTAATAAACTTATGTCTTCAAAGTAAATAAACTAAACTAAAGGTTCCTTAGTGAAGAAAGGCCCCAAATTGGTATAATTTCTCTTGTGGTTAGCATAGATAGGAATGACAGTACATGTATATGTGTGTGTGTGTGTATATATAAAATTGATATTCATTAATCAAGTACAACAAATTCACTAAATCTAATTACAGATCCAGAGTCCTGATTTATTGTATTGAATTGCATAGTGATTGTTTCATGTGAAGTCTGATTTGAAATTTAATTATTTGAGCACTTAATGGTGTCAAAGAACTTTAGCTGCCTGACTCCAGGAGGTTTGGAAACATAAAACATTTTAAGGTGTATTTGCAAACAAACAAAGTATTAGAGATTGTGAGGAGATTATGAAGGCCTAAAAGAAGTTATTCCCTGGATTGTTAAATTTGTCAGTGTAGAGACCTGGGGAGTACAGGAGTCTGACTGTTCAGTTGTCAGGATATGTTTGGTTAATTGGTCTTCTAGTAGGTTGATAGGCCACTGGGAAATGTAGGACTATTTGCTAAGAAAATAAAGCAAATTAAGGAAAGAAATTAGGAG